AGGAGGGGTTAGGGTTTAGGGTATAATATGTAAGGACTAAAATACTACCTTAACCTACCAAAACCCACTTCTTTGTAGGTTCCTATTATAAACCCTAATATGGGATTTATAGGGACCCTACAAAAAAGTCTGTTCTGGTGGGTTAAGGTATGTAAGGACTATTAAGGGCTTTTGTTGCTTCAGGGCCGAAATACTCTAGGATGGATTAGCGGATTCAGGGGGTTCGGGTTCCGGGTTTGGGGTTTGTTTGGGGTCTGGAGTTTTGAGGTTCGGGGAGTTCAGAATAGCACTGTCGCATAGGGTTTAACAAGGCAGGAAAGCCCCACAAGGAAGGGGTATCAGGTTAGGTCGCAAGTTCCGAAGGAAAGCGAACGAACGTTCCATGGTTTGCGCACGCAATGAAAAGAAACCCTGGCCACGAAATTGAGCCTAACGCCACCTTGCGGCCCCGACTAGTGACTAAGAAGTAGAGTATAGCACACCTCAAAGCCTTTTTCTAACTATTCTCAGGCTGTTTGGCATGAAGACCAACTACTAGTAGAACGACCCCAGCGAGGAGCAGGGGCGAGGGGGACTGATCCTTCGGGCTCGGTATCGCATCTCTCGCACATGAAGCTTTAGGGTTTCGAGGCTCCGAGGTTTCGTTTTTTTTTTTTNNACTCGGACAAGCCTAGGCGAGGTTGCAAGTTCCAGGCTTTCCGGCTCATGTGGTTTTGGGGGTTTGGGGCTACAGAAGCTGAGGGCTAGTAGGGATTATAGGGCTACGAAAGTTTCGACGAGCGGCTGGTCAGATCTTTCTGGAAGGACTCCAGCACGTCGGCCAGCTCCTGGACAACGGCTTAGCTGGAGTAGAGGTCTGCATGCTGGAAGTTAAGATATCATCCTCTTATCATGAAACCATAGGTTCTAAAACCCATAACCAAAAGCAGCTGAACAACATGCTGTTGCTTTTGGCTCTGCATGTGCCAGGCATGAGCAGGCCTGGAACAAGTCTCTCGTAGAGTTGCAGGTTACGGGGACATGCTTGCTCATGTGAACTCCGCAGAGTTTGTCGAGGGCTCATCTTTGACGTGGGGGCAAGATAGCTGCAGTAATACACATTTGGCCTGCAGAAGTACAAAGCTCGCGGAAGAAACGTGCAACAGCCTCGATACCCGTAAGCCGTCAGACCCATAGCCAATCTATACCCCAAGGCCCTCTGGGAGGGTGGGGGGCTCGTGTGGATCTTTTCTGCGAAAAAAAATCGCTCCTAACCATACAAAGTGTTATCTGGAAGAAAATACAAGTTATCAGGGGCCATTTGGACCGCAAAGACGAACTTAAACAAGGTGCAGGGTGCTGCCACAATTCTCGGTGTAGGAGCTCCGCACCTTGAGGCCGGCGCTTCGGGCGGACGAAGCGGCGGGCGCAGCCTCCATGCAGGATGTCATGCACGCTGTCTAGAGAGTCTAGAGTGTAGATATTACGAACTAGGTTTGCCACGTTGTATTCAGGGTTTAGCGTTCATGTCGGATTGGGTCTCAAATGATGAGGGCAACATGCGATAGGAAAGACCCCGGAATTCAATCGCAGTTCCAGAGACCTGGGAGCCTGAATCCAAACTTGAGCCCTCAAGTACTAAGCGTTGAATTCGAGGCCTTTGCCACAGCATCCGCAATAAGCCTTGGCGGGCTTTCACTTGCGCCTAAACCCGTCGTAGAGCTTGCGAGTATAGGACGTTGTGGGCAGCTCTGATTCTTAAAGCCGTTCATCGGGCACGTGAGGCTTTTGCTCGTGCCTCAGCACAGGGGTAGTTTTAGCCGTGCCGCCTAATTCCTAAACACCTCCTCTGATGTTGAATACGATCAAGGCTTGTGATAGTACAGTACAGTACTTGCCGGCCCCTCACTAAGTAGTTAGATGTAGTTAGTGGTAGCAGCAAACAAGGGTGGTGGTGGTGGGTGGTGGTGGTGGTGGGTGGTGGTGGTGGTGGTGGTGCTGGTGGTGGTGGTGCTGGTGGTGGTGGTGGTGGCGGCGGTGGCGGCGGCGGCGGTGGCGGGGGCGGTGGCGGGGGCGGTGGTGGCGGTGGTGGTGGTGGTGGGTGGTGGTGGGTGGTGGTGGTGGTGGTGGTGCTGGTGGTGGTGGTGCTGGTGGTGGTGGTGGTGGCGGCGGTGGCGGCGGCGGTGGCGGGGGCGGTGGCGGGGGCGGTGGTGGCGGTGGCGGTGGTGGTTTTCGGCGGTGGTGCGCGGAGGTCGTTGACAGTTGACAGTAATAAGTGGTGGTCATGATGTAACAGTCCAAGCTTTCTGAGGCATCGACTGTTTGCGCTTTGCTGCGTCCTTCTCCTGTGCCGCAAGGATGCTTGTGGATTAATCTCTAGGAAAACTGCATGACAGGGACTTCCCTGGCATGAGGCATTTTCGACGTTTTGAGGCTGGAAGTTTCAGTCAGGGATAGAGCGGTCACCTTCAGTGAAACCCGGGGTGCTGACACGAGACGATCGGCTCATGCTGTGAGGTTTGCGCTACTGGCTTCGTGGGCACAGCCCTTTCCATCCAATGGCTTCCGTGTTGTCACTGCCGGTGTGCCCGATCTTTGTGCAAAGCAACGCCTCCGCTCACACCTATAAGCGAAGAACAGCTTGTAGCATCATTATATGCACCCTGGCGGCCTTCGCGAAATCACGCACGGATTGCCGCAGGTCCGCAAAAGCATCGAGGCTCTTTGTCCAAGCCTCCTGCATAAGCTGCACAAGACAGCATTGAGACATTGGGTAGCGGCTGTGGGGCCAGGGATGGATTGTAGGGGCAATGCAAGAGCTTGCTTTGCTTAGCAGGCACGCATCTGACGGGTTTCAGTCGCGATTCTGGAAACACTTGCTCCGAGTCCTGCTCATACAAGTATCGTGCGGCTCAGATGTGGCTTCAGCCAAGCTACCCCCAAACCCCAAGCCCCTAAAAATCCTGTAGCCTAAATGCCCCCACTGCCTGGCAATACATTCAATACCCAGTACGGAACCCAATATAAAACTACAGAACCCTCGCACGGTTTAGGGTTTAGGGATCATGAATGATCAAAAAGCCCAGAATCCGTCCTTTGGCTCGCGCACCTGTCGGAGGCCTCGCGCAGCAGGACCCGACTACACAAAACCTTCATGAACAAGTCCAAAGGAGTAGAAGCCTCAAAAGAGGCCCTGTCTTGATCCATAGTTTAAGACATATGATGGTACGAAAGATCTTGTTGTTTTTGGTTTTGCTTTTCGATGGGCATGGGACACCTATCAGACTTATCACCCCCCCCCAGCGTGTAACTTAGGGCTCCAGGTATGTCGGCGTTTCTTAGATGCGTGCCAGTGCTTCTGAGCCTAAAGCCAAAACCGAACACCTTTCTGCGAGGCTTGCACAGGGAATCTGCAAGCTCTGGTGACCAAGTGCTGGGACCTACTGCAAGCCTGTTGGTTAGGTGTTACCCATGACAAAACACAGACAGGTTCTGATCATGAGCAGCACTACTTCATACGCCTGGTACAAGCGACCCTGACAAAATCATGACACAAACTGGGGCTCATATTTGGGCATATATCAGACTTCTCCCAGTGACCTCCGCGACAGTACAGTACAGTCTTTCGCAAAATCCACGGGGACCGAGACCAGGGCTAAGCTAACTACGAGATTTAAGCAGGACCCCAAGGTACCCTCAACCCAGGCCTTATGCATGTATGCATGTATATATATATATATATACACACATGTATATATATATATATATATATGCCTCAGAGTACCAGTGCAGGCGCACATGCCGAAGTCTTCAGTCCGCAAGCGCTGGACCGCACAGTCCATGTTCCATGCGCTGTGACTACTTCCTACGACAAGGACGATGTAGCACACTTTCAATATGCTAACAACTGCAAATAGGCTAGCCAATTTCGCAAAGACATGTCGCGGAGCCATCGCGACACTTTGGTGCATACACATATACATGTTTAAACTAACTATACATATATACACATAGAAAGCACACATAGTACTTCTGTCATTTCTGTAGCAGTTTCACGACGAGGATGTAAGGTCAATGGGAGAGCCAAGTTGAAATCCCCAAATCCCAGACCACAGGGTCCGGTTCACAGCCAGATGCAGGAAAACGGTCATGAACAGGAACCGCCACCGTAAAACCCCGACCCTGTACCTCACCAGAGTCGCCACAGATCTCTCGAACTCTTGCGGCCTCTGAAAAACCACCCAACACAGCACTTTAACCACCATATTCTGACAAAAAAACCCTCAACTCCCTTCAAAGCCCTTGAACCCCAAGCCATAAACCCTTGACATCCACAGACCATCATCCCAAGCCTTCCACCCCGAGCATGGTGAGCGTGGACTCAACGAGCTGCGCCGCCTTTTGCGATTGTGATAGCTTTAACGAATTTTACAATTCTCTAGTACTCATAAAAACATGCACTGTTTGTATAGTTCTTGACACTTCTTAGCAATTGGTCTTGATGGATGTTTTCGTACGTGCCGCAGGAACTAGTGCTTCGAGGGCAGGTTAGAATAAAAGCTTCCTGAATCGGGACTGGCATGGACTTGCACGGGGATTTGGAATTTAAGGTTTTTGGTCCTGTGCACTTCAAGCTTGAAGTATTGTTGCTGGAAGTATTGTTGCGCCAGGGATTTTACTGGGCTTACGACCTTACAGCAGTGCAACCGATCTGCATAGCGGGATGAGTGGTTCAGGGTCTCTCACTCGATACGGAGTCTCATGGAGAACGCAGCTTCGGGTAGTACTGACGCTGGTGATCAGCTGCTCTCGGCTCTTAAGTCTCTTTTGAATCGCATCATACCATTCTCCAGCGTAATGTGCGGCGGTCGCAGTTTGAGGCTAAGGGCATCTGCTGTTGCCATGTTCGGGGGGGGGGGGGGGGGGGGNNGGGGCGGGGTTCCTGCCCTGTTTGTCCAAGGAATACAAAGACCAACCCCGAAGATCCGACCAAGACGTCCTACGCGAGCCCGTTCTCAAAGGTTGGGGTTTTGCAGCAGAACAAGGAAGCAAATGAAACCTGCAACTGCAAAAGCTACATGCAGCCCTCAGCCATCTTGAAATTTAGGAGCCTGTAGATGGACTCAAACGACTCAGGGCTTTGACCCATGTACCACTGGTGGTCCTAAAAAAGCACTAGTTTGCGATACTTCGCGCAGGAAAGACCCCTTAAACTCGAAAACCTCTCCAGTTGCCTTCACCACAGGCTCGAGAGACAAGTCCGGCAGAGACTGCAAAGTGGGACGTTGGATCTGAGGCTTTTCGACACATGTGCGACGATGGCATGATGCTTACTTCACAGACGGGCAAAAAACTGCACCGTATCAAACCTGACCAAAGCCTGCTGTTTATAATGACTAGTCCGAAGAAACGCCATCATACGCAGTCCTTTATGCTCTACTCCCTGCCATGTATCCTATCGCAACAAAAGGAAAAACAACAGCTTGGCGCATGCTGCTTGCCGAATGTTGTGCGTTGCTTCGGGTTTCGTGGGAGCGGGGGGGGGGGGGGGGGGGGTCGCCGTAGACAGCTACCCGCTGCTGTCTGCAGGACATCCGTTTGTCTGCAATGGTGTCTCTGATTGCATGTCTGTCTTAGTCAAGCTTAGTCGGACAGACATTCACGGTCGTCTGTAGCTCAGGGTTGAGGACGTCTGGCGTGCGGGTTGAACAGCAATGCTGCTTTGGCTTAATAGCCGTCTAAGTATCCGGATAGGCACCCGAAGTCACCTCAGCGAAAGATGGCTCAGCCTCAGCCTTTGCAAGCCTTCTCAGAATACAACTAGCCCAGAGGGTCCATGTACCCAAACAGTATATACTTTGGCCCCAAAGTACCCATATAGGGACTACTTTAAGGCCAAAGTCAATGCAAATTAGGCACGTGGACCCTTAGGGTAGACCACAAACCTGCAACTCCTGAACTGCTGAACCTTTCTGAGGAGTTGCAGTGCACCAGCCCACATCCCTCATACCCAGCCTGCTGCACTTCTCATCCAGACTTAGGCACTGCTGAACCTAGTATCCTAGGACCCTAAACTGCAAACCCTAACCCCTGAACCCTCAACTGGTTGGGCCTCAAAGGCTACCTTGCACTCCATCACCAGCTTGGAAAGTGCCTGGCTGGCACGAGTCCGCGAGGGCTAAGTGGCCTACTCCCAGCAGTCGGCAGCGTGTCTGCTGAGTCCGTAGAGTTTAGGTTTTAGGGAGGGCGTAGAGCATAATCAGGTTTGTTCTAGTGTTTGGGGTGTTGGGCTCGAGGTATGGCTGCTGCTTGGGCTTGGGTTTTGGGCTGCTGCTTGGGCTTGGGTGTTGGGTTGTACTTTTGCAGACGGGCGTGGCAACCAGTATAGGTGGTGCAATTCTCCAGCATTGCCTGCTCTAACCATGGCTCCAAACATGTTTTGTTGCCTCAGTACATCGACATGGACAGGATATGCACTACAAGTACGAGCACTGAATAGAAAAGCAACAGAGTATGGTTATCAAGACTATCCATTTCGCGGCGACAGGACTGCGAATGAGCAGTAGGCCTCAATAACTCTGGGCGTGGCAAAGTTGTCTCGAAGGGCCGCATCGATCGCCCCCTGCAAGCACCACAAGTAAAGGGGACACCATTTGTGTCAAGCTTCGATGTTGGCCCCGCCAAACCGGGATGGCAACAATGTGTATATGCATATGCATCTGCGCATGTGTATGTGTATGTATGCATGTATGCATGCATGCACGTCTGTCTGTATGTATCTTCGCATGCCTGCCTGCATGCATGCATGCATGCATGCATGCATGCATGCATGTGTCTATATAAAAAAATATGTATATAGCTAAAGATATAGATACGGATCTTATGTACACGCATAAAATTCAAACCAAGACGGATATGCATAGCTAGCATATGTATTGATGTATGTATATCTATATACATGCATATATAGATATACAAACAAAGAAAGACAACCAGAAAGTTACAAGCAACCTTTCATGCGAGCACACTGGTACAAAGAGAGAGCAAGAGATAGAGCTAAATAGATAGATAGATAGATAG